TATCGTGACTAGAAGAGAAGTGTTTCCATATAGGATCAGTCTTTACACGACTGGAAGGTGTGGAACCTATAGATTGCCTTTCCGAAGATTGAGTATTTTTGTCCATCCTAACTAAAAATAAAAATAAAAGCACCATAGTTAGATAGAGTACAGACTCTGACTTCAAGCGCTCTCCTCCAATCAATATACGGTATGCCCAAGGCCCACATAGAAAAAGAGCATTTATCAATTAAAATCAAGTAATCAAAATTATAATAAGGTAAAAGCCATAAATGAATAGTTGAATACTTAGTGTAAATGAAATCAAATAACTCAATCGGAATTAATAATCTATAACAGCCAACTGCGAAGTTGCCACAGGGGCGAATTGCGGTCTGCGAAACTGGTGTGACGGTGTCCCTGACTCCGACGAGGAGGAAATTTGGAAGTCATAAGGAGAAGTCGAGAAGAGAGACGGAGACGACACTGTGATTTGGGATTAATGGGATTTTGATTTGGGATTTAGGAATTTTTTAGGTAAATCGATAATGGATATATCAGTTGGATAATGGATTAAGTCTAAGGGCATTAAATTGGATTTGGACTTGAAGTTGTGGGTCGCTCTTCTACATCACTAGGTCTGGTTCAACTAAAAACCTCCCCCTGGATTTTGGGCATGAGGCGTAGGCCTCATTTGCCTAGCCCTAAGATCAGGCATGCCTAATAATTACCAGTAAAAATTTCAAAGCACGAAACCAAGTTTGGCAGGGGGGGAAAAGAACAAAACAGAAGTCCCTATATTGATTGATAAGTTTTAGATTACACAATTGCACAATTCAGAATCTAAACAACAATTTTATGAACCGTTAGATACGGCACAATACAAAAGAAAACATAAATGGTTCTTATTCCTAATCAAATACCAATCCCATTATCAAGATATGAAGAAGAAAACATATTCGTAATCAAATACAAATTTCGTTATTAAGATATAGCATGATAAGAATTATAGAGAAGTCCAGCCTCTAAGACATTAACCGTATGTTTGGCCTCCATTCTTGCCAATTTTTTCCAATTTTTTTTCAAAAGTGTGGGACCCATGCAGAATATAAGGATGGCGTTCCTGCAAAAAACTAAGGCCTCTGGGTGTGTGTCAGTCATTTGAATTATGGAAATTTGTGGAAAACCATTTCTACCCTTTAATTGGAATTTTATTCCTTCCCTTTTTGCCCTTCTGCTGGAATTTTTATTCTTTCCATTGAGGGCAAAATAGTCATCAAACTCCAGGCGATTTTTCATCCTGCATCATCTCTGACAAAAGACTGAGTGATTGTAACATTTTATCAATGTAAATACTGTAGCAAAATGATATGTGAAGAAAAAAATTGGAAAAGAATGGGGATCAAATGGTGGCTAATAAAGAATTATACAGAAGAAAAAACAAACAAAATCCAATAATTTCACAAATCAAATATAAAAATTGTTATTTGAAACCTACAAAATATGAAAAGTAAATAATTATTATCTCTAAATTAATTGAAATCTTGGAGGAAAAGATAAAAATTTCTGAAAAAGAAGAAGAACACGATGAAAATCAAGGTGTTTAGAAACAATCAAACCTGCTATAGAAGTCCGTTAATGGAAGAACAAGATTTAGAATATGGAGTCAAGAACAAAGTAGAAAAATTTGTAAGAAATACATATGATAGATGCGGCACACTAAAGAGGAGAGAAAGACGAAGAGTTTGTATTGAATTGAAACAGAAAATAAGGGTTTTTATTGTTTGTCACGGGTTCCTTCTATCGGTAGAACATCACGATTTTCATATAAACCGATCGGTCCGACGGGATTCTTGTGCAGCATTCCTTATTTTTCAGTTGATTCAGCCGATCCGATCTGGTTTTCAAAACATTGAGAATAACAACTCAAATTTTAATTGCTTAATCTGCACATCTTCTAGAACACAATAAGATATATTTTTTAAGAATATTGTTACACTAGAATTATGTTCTTCGGGAACAATGTCTTTCTTTATGACGAATATAATATTCTTCTATAATATCAATTTATATTAAATTATCGTTTACAGTAATTAATATTTTTTTAGGGGTTAATAGGAGAAAACGTTCCTACATTTGACACTTATTTTTGGAAAACGTCCCTACGTTTCATTTTTTTGCATTTGCGTCCTTATTTCAACGTTTCATTGCTAAAAAAGTCCTTTTCACTATTTTTGAACGTAAAATGACCAAAATACCCTCCTAAAAAAAGAAAAATAAAGAATAAATTGTAATTTTACTCCTAAATATTTTAAAAAGTGCAAGTGAGTCCAAATAATTATTAAAATGCCTAATAGCACAAAATGTCCCTACGTTTGGCATGTAGTGAGCAAAACGTCCCAACGTTTCAAATTGATGAAAATGACGTTTTTCACAATAAAACATGAAAATAGGGATGAAAATGCAAAAAAAAAAATAAAAAAAAAATTGAAACGTATAGACGTTTTTCGCAAGAAGTGTCAAATGTAGGGACATTTTCTACAAAAAGTGTCAAACGTAAGGATGTTTTGTACTATTAGGCCTTATTAAAATTGAAATCATTGCCAAACCGGTGAATCTCCATATCATTTCCAAAATATCATCATCCAAACTCCGGAGAAATCCATGTTATTTCCAACACACCAATTGACTATACTCACTAGAGCGCTTCTCTTCATGGTCTCTTCTTCTCCAAATGGGACTGACACCTTAGAAATGAAAAAATTCCGACCAACCATAGCCCAAACCGTCTAACCTTCATACCACTAAACCATTTGTTGATGTGTTAAGACCATGAAGAGAAGCGTGCTGGTGAGTATAGTCGATTGGTGTATTGGAAATAACATGGATATCTTCGGAACAGGTAGTGCCGTCGGAGTTTGGGTGATGGTATTTTGAAAATGGTATGGAGGATCACCGGTTTGGCAATGGTTTTAATTTTAATAAAGCCTAATAGCACAAAACATCCCTACATTTGACACTTCTTGTGGAAAACGTCCCTACCTTTGACACTTCTTGCGAAAAATGTCCATACGTTTCAATTTTTTTGCATTTTCATCCCTATTTTCATATTTTTATTGCGAAAAATGTCATTTTCATCAATTTGAAATGTAGGGAAGTTTTTCACACTACATACCAAACGCAGGGACGTTTTGTGCTATTAGGCCTTTTAATAATTATTTGGACTCACTTGCACTTTTTAAAATATTTAGAAGTAAAATTGTAATTTATTCTTTATTTTTATTTTTTTGTTTTATTTAAATAGGAGAGTATTTTGGTCATTTTACATTCGAAAACAATGAAAACGACTTTTTAGCAATTAAACGTCGAAATAATGACGAAAATGCATAAAAAGGTTTGTAGGGACGTTTTCCGCAATAAGTGTCAAACGTAGGGACATTTTCTGCCATTATCCCTTTGTTTGGAGATAAAGTAATGTCTAAACCTGTGTTTCTATTGAAGAAACAAAAACTATTATTTTAGAATAGTTGTTATAATACAATATTTTCCTAGATTATAGATAAGAAATAATAAAATAAATTCAAGAAAATCTATGTATGCTATGATTATAATGTATAATCAAAAGATATAACCTAATATTATATATAAATTTGTTGTTATGCAAATAAATTCGAGATTCCACTCAACTTTTTTCCCCTTCCAAGAAATAAATTCAAGAAAATATATGTATGCTATGATTATAATGTATAATCAAAAGATATAACCTAATATTATATATAAATTTGTTGTTATGCAAATAAATTCGAGATTCCACTCAACTTTTTTCCCCTTCCAAGAAATAAATTCAAGAAAATATATGTATGCTATGATTATAATGTATAATCAAAAGATATAACCTAATATTATATATAAATTTGTTGTTATGCAAATAAATTCGAGATTCCACTCAACTTTTTTCCCCTTCCAAGAAATAAATTCAAGAAAATATATGTATGCTATGATTATAATGTATAATCAAAAGATATAACCTAATATTATATATAAATTTATTGTTATGCAAATAAAGTTGAGATTCTGCTCAACTTTTTCCCCCTTTCAAGCACAACAAAAAATATATATTGGTAAGTCACGTGGTGCATGTCAAATACGGATACACCGTCTTAGTAAGAGTGTTATTGCACCATAGCAATTAGGAAAAGAAAAAAGTTTTGGACTACTCCTCATAACAAAATTAACCTTTTAAGATGAGCATCAAGTCTTAATAAAAGCCAGCCACAAAAACCTATTAAATATACATTGAAATTGAACATTAAGTACTAAAATGACAACAACTTTTCAATCAACCTGTAAATTGTCAATTGGCTAAGCTTAGAATGCCATGAACCTAGAGAATTCCCCTTAAATTGTCATGAGATGAGTATATGATTTGTATTATCGAAAAGTGCATGTATCATTTGCAATTGTCACAATATCCTACCAAAGTTATTGTGTGTTGGCATAACAAGCTTGCAAACCTTGTGAGGAGACAGCTAGCCTAGGGGCCATGGCGGTGTGGCGCTAGAACTTTGGACATCGGACGACGGTCTGTGTCAAATCTATTTTACATAAAGAACAAAAAAATTGAAAAACCAAAACTCTGTCAAAGAAACAACTTGAACGCTAAATATTGTAAAAGAAAATTGTTCCTTGAATGTAAAAATAGTTTCCAACATTAGAGCTACTTACTAAACTGATTATGTGTCGCATAAATTTTAAAATACACAAACTTCAAAGCAACAACAAAGGAATTATATATGAGAAATAGATGTCACACAAACTTTTAATCAAGCAAACCGACATCAACTTTCCAATACTGAATTCTATATGGATAAAATTGTATACCGAGTATCATTACTAATAAAACGTAGGATTCCATTTTAAAATGTCAACCAAATTAAAAATAGTATCATAAATCTTTATATGCTTATTTATGTTTTTATAATTGTTCGATATGGGATTCATCGCGTATCAAGAAAAGGACATTGATATTTCAAGAGTTAATACAATATTTTTAAATATAAAACGTTTTTCTACATTGTTTCGCAAGTTGCAGATATTCAGTGAAAATCATAGTCTGATTGGTGAAGTAATTTGAAACATACTACAAGTAAAGTCCAAGCTTGACAGCCCGGCTGACACTCTCCTCACATTGGAGGGGCTTGTGCATTATTTTATTGGGCGAGGGCCCTCACCCTTGTGATTCTGCATATCAGAATACTGGAATTGCTCAGTGACACGTGAGTGTGGATTTTCTTCATAGTGTTCTGTTCCAGGCTCGGGCTTCACTTTAGAACCTATATCAGATGGCAGCTGAGACTCTGAAAAGGCATCATTCTTTAGCAAAACTTGGTCTCTTTGAATTTGCTGCTTTTGTTGGAGTTGATGTTGACCAAGTTGCTGATGCTGAAAGTGATACAAAGGATTTTGAGATTGTTGAGGTTGATGAGATTGTACAAGAAACTCTCTTCCTGAATAATGGGGTTGAAGATGCATCTTTTCTGATTGATCAGTTGAATGAGGCTTCATGCTTATCACCTGTTGAGTTGCATGCATATTCGACTGATTGGCCATCAAAGGGGGGTTTGAATTGGGCATGGACCGCAAGGATACTGCATTAAATTTCTGATCGTTCATCACTGACTCAACAGTGGTTACAGGAACATTTAAGTTTCCAGACCCCGAAGCATCAGACGAACCAAGCTCATATCTGTCACCTGCAAGTGGCCTAGTTACAGTAATGGTGCAAGTAAAAGGCAACAGAAGATGGTCTGCACATTTTTGCATGTTAACACATTTTATGAGAGAAAGAGAGTACCCTGCATTTCTGGACACAGATGTTGATCGAAATGTTGGTGTGAGGGTTTTGGGGAGTTCCCATGCATGGTTCCCATTAAATAGCCCTCTGATGTTCCCGGGCCATGCATTGGCGGTATATTGTTTCTAATCACCCCCAGCCCATCATTTAAGGACCCAGATGATACTCCATAGGATGTTTGCTGCAAGGTGGACCTACCCATATTACCACCAATACTATGCAACATACTACCATTTTGACCACCAACATGCTGCTTTTGCTGCATTGGCTGTGATACGATAGTAGGTTCATCAGCCGGAAATGCACTCACATTATTAGATGACTCCAGGTTCATGGAAGACCGATAATTGGCATTATTATTCATATCATTACTAGGATTACTAAATCCAGGAGTGGGTATCATTTGGCTGGTTATTCTCAGTACACCCATGGAAGTCGAAATGCTATTTCCACCCGAACTGATTGTGAAACCAGAAGATGATTGTTGATATCCACTAGCCAAAGGACCTGCAAATATTTGTCTTGTGAGAAAGGAGTTAGAGAAGGCAAGTTGATAGCTTTACTCATTTACTGAGAAATAAGAAAATAAAGAAGCATTAAGTGAACTAAAAAAACATCATGAGGAGTCCTAGATAGGCCTTTTCCAGTTGGCAAGAAGATTCCAGTATTCACAGAGGGGCATACAATTGAATTACCAATGTTAGCAACAACACAACTATCAATGGATGAAGTTCTTGTCAGGATTGAATTCCCTGTCTGAGGTAATCCAGGAGTCGGAATCATTGTACCAATGGAAGAGGAAGTATTAGCATGTGAAAATTGCTGGTTGTGGTCACTCATCCGTCTAATCAGCAGATGTAAACGACTCTCCAAGGTTTGCAGGTTTAGATACTCCTCCTGATAATGCAAGAAAAGAGGGGAAAAAATGTTTACATGATTAACAGTTAATTATTCCCTTAGCTAAGAAGCCCTAATTGATGTTCAACACCGTAAATAGATGTAAAATCGCATTACAAAAGTAAAAATATAACAAACCTTGGTCGTAGCACTCCTCAATAGACCCTCCTCTAAGCATCTTACCATATGAAATAGTTTCTTAGGCGGAGGGCCTAGTGTTTGTTGTCTACGCAGCATGAGAAATTCATAGCTGCGCCAAAGAGAACAAATTTTCATCAGCCCTAAATTGCTTATCCACTTAAAATTTAGGCTAAATTTCTTTATTCATCAAATTCAAGAGTTATTTATATGATAATAATCCAACCTATAATAAATAATACTCCTCCAACCCAAAAGATTAAGCTCTAAATAAATAAATAAATAAGTGTTGCCTTTGTTGAAAGATTTAGAGAGTTTTAAAGAATTTATATCAACGTATCCTGTCCTTTTTTATAAAAAAATTGCCTTTTAGCATATCAGTGTCGTAGAGTCATGTTCATGTCGCATGTTAGTGTCCAGTGCTGCTTAGAGAGCACCCAAATATTTAGGAACAGTTGCAACAAATAATATAATACGACACCAAGAGATGGTATGTAACATTTTTCAGCTCATATGTCTACTGATAAGTCATTGTAAACTATAAAATTTATTAGGAATTTGTATTTCTACGCATCTATCATCTCAAAAGCCTAGTATAGTATGTTAAATTTATGGCACCACAATGCAGCAGTAGACATTACTGATTTCACTGTGCCAGAACTCAAGCCATAATGCACAAGCAAAACATGAACATATTACTCCTGGTCAAATGTTACATACAATCTAGAAAAAGTGGTTAATCTTACTTGAAGAAAGTAAAATAAGAAAAGTTATTTCTACGGAAAAGTGTTGTTTTTAAAGCATTCAATAGCAAATATTTAGATGCAAATAACTTCAAAGCAGCTCTCCATTATTAAACATCAGTACAATGTGGATCCACCTGCCAGGGGGAAGAGTTTATTGCGTGTGTGTAAGAGAGGCCGGCGAGTAAAGTAAACAGATATTGCAGTTGAATTTTAGAAGCAAAGCTCAGAATCATGATCATTGAGTCATATTGCACTTATGGATTAGTTTACGGAAATTTCTGTAATAGAGCACAAATCCGCCACATTCAAATAGAATAAGGTCTGAGGCTACAACGCATGCAGCACCACAAAAAGACTTGATGCCAAGCAGATAAACGATATTATTAACTCATAACAAGGACCATCAATCCCTCAACATGCACACCGTCCAATTCAGAAAAATTAAAAAATCATTAACACAACAAGAAAAAGCATATTTATAAGGACATGAAAAACTAAAAGGCTTACATCTTTTCTGCCATAAATTTGCGTGATTTCACAAATTCAGAGCCCATGTTCATAACACTACAATGGACAACAGGATTTTGTATATGTCCAGGCAAGGGGTTTCCTTTTTGCTGCGGTAGCCCAAGCAACGCGGTGCTGGCCTTGTTTAGTTCCTGTCGTGATATCTGCGCATAAAGGTGTGTCTGCAAATTCATCTTTACTGTAAGCTAAACAATGTGTTCCTTGTAACATGATTTATAAGGTTCCATCATCTAGTTAACATGAATCACTTTCCATGCATAATAACATCCACAAACTATCAGTCTACGAAAATAAGATGAAAAAACAATCACTTTGACAAATGCATTCTGCAAATTTTACAAATATAATAGCCTGGTGAGCCCTCTTCCCCGTGGAAGAACAAGGGGCGGAGCCACTTGGGGTCTAGTGGGGGCTGGATTTTGGTCCTGGGTATTTCACCTATTACACTTTAGGGGCAGCCAGTTTTCAAGGCAATGGAAAACAAACAACCGCATCAAAAATTGAAGAGAAATATGGTTGAAAAATCACTGTCGCTAGAGAAAGATTACCATCAAGAAATAAGAATTCTGGAAAAATAAAATAAATTATACGGAGTTGAGTTCAGATTAAATCATTCACAACAAACAAATCGAGTCGATTTCAACATACAAAGCCCGTTTTAACACTTATATAATCCGATACTACCTTCCAAGTTTGGCGATGAAGAAGTTGAGTAGAAATCACTGCAACACAAGATCAATTGGTGCCGAGAGGTGATGAGTATGTTACCAATTTTTATTCTAATGCCAAGAAAGAAAACCTAGGCCGCTCTTCCCGCTTTGCTAAACAGATGTCGGGTTGTCCTTTGATTGGCCGGCTTTCTAATATTGTAATTGGGCTTTATAAATATTTTTTTGGACTCATCATCTAAAAAAGTGAAAATTACACAATTCCCTATTTTAAACATTCACTAATTTTAAAATTAGATGGGTAGTTTAACCCTTCAAAAATCGAATGTTTTATTTTAGTTAATATTTTTTTAAATAAATATTTTTACTAAATGTATATACTACAATATACATATAAACCCTAATTAATTCTCACTACTCTCTCTACATTTCTCTCGCGTCTCACTCTCACTGATTATTCTCTGAACGAAAATGCAGAAATCGGTAATTTGGTGTGGATGCGACAGAGCTTTCGATGCGATTCCAATATTGTGTACGACTGTGGAAAAGACTGTGTTTGGTGGTGGATGTGGTGTGATGGTTGCGTGGTGGTGGTAGATTTGCGCTGTCGGAATCGTCAAAGCTGGTGGTGGTGGCTATGATAGTTTTGGCAGTGGCTGAGCAGTATTTGTTCATGGTTGATGGAGGTGTGGGCAGTGGTGTGTGATGTGGATGGGATGCTACGTTGTGGTGGCTCTGGTGGTGGTGTGTGGTAGTGGTATGGTGGTTCTGGGGATGATGGTGGCGTTGGTGATGATTGGAGGTAATGGTTGTTTGGTGGTGATCACAGATTAATTGGTTGATTGTGACCATTAAATTGATTAATCTGTGATTAATTTGATCAATAAGAAAGATAAGTTGTGATCAAAAATTAATGTTTGACCTAAAATATTAATAATTTGTGATTATTTAATAAGTTGTCATCTATCATATTTGTGATCTATGACCTATAAATAAATTATGAAGTGTAAATTTTTGATCTGTGACCGACGAACAAATTGTGACCTAGAAAAGTCTTGAATTGTGACCATAAAATAATCTGTGACATGAAAAATTCTAATTTATGATCGAAAAATAATATGTAACTAATTAAATTGTGAATTTGTGACCGAAATGGGTAATAATTATCTTCTTAGTTATGAAATTTTCCGTTTAGAAAATCAAATTATAATTTTATTCTATAAAAATTAAGATATATACTATACCTCACGTCGCTTTATCTATTTTTTTACTGTTCCCCAGTCAGATTCGCACCCACACCACCAACACTATTGCCCGCCACCATTGTCCAGACTCAGGGAGAACAAAATTTTGGGTTGGGTGAGGCTTTGGGGACATGGGCCTCTAGTGCAATTTTACCCTTTCAAAAATATTAAAAAATATAGTCAAAGTCAAATTTTTTAATCTAGTAACAGACATTTGGATGAAAAACGTCAGGGCCTCCTCCGCAACGTTTCGAAAGGTTTAGGGTGACGATTGCAACAAATTAAGGATTTGAAAAAAATCTGCTAATGTTTTAAAGATTTGATGTCTCTGCTGCAATTATCCCTTTATTTTATTTCGATTATAACTCTTATTTTGAATTTTATAAATATGAGATCTTAATTCTTAATAATACGCACTTGAATTTTGACTTTTACATTTTCTTCTCTTTTTCTCACTAATTTATAACAAAATTAAGCTCTCGTTTAGCCCCCATTTTCAGAAAATGAAAACGGTTGGAATAATATTTTTTTGAAAAATGAGTGGTTGAAAAAAAAGGAAAGTTTTTTTTTATTTACGTGTAATATTATTTTATGAAAAATTGTGTAGTAAAAAAAAAAGAGAAAAATGAAATTTAATGGGATCAAACGGGGGCTAACTATGATTTTGTTCGGTAATGATTATGAGAAATGATTTTTTTTTACCATTAGAAAGAAAAGTGAATTCCACTTGTGAATGAAAGAATAAAAAATGATGGTTGAAATAGTAAAATAACTATAAAAAAAAATCTTTTGAAGTGAAATATTGCAACCAAACGGGGCCACAAAGCTTAAGAATCCTTTTACCATACTGCTACAGTCCCTTTCTCACGCACAGAGGCACTGTTCTGCGCCTGATACTTGTAGAAACTTGCTATCATCAGTTCACCATGCCTCGAGGATCCTCTCAGTCTCAGGCTGCCTCTGATCCCATGTCCCGCCTAGGAATGGCATTTTAGCTCGTCGGCTCGGACCGAGCCAAGGCTCAAGTTGAGCTCCATTTAGGGAGAACGAGTTAAGCCCGAGCTGCCTAATTATTAAAAATAAATAAATAAATAAATAATGGCTGCCTAATTATTAAAAAAAAGCATAAAAAGCGAGCCTACCCGACTTGGCTCGGCTTGGAAAGGCCCGACCCGAAAGCTCGGGTCGAGCCTAATTTTTTTGGCCGAGATTTTGTTCAGCTCTGCTCGGGCCCCAAAAAAAGCCCGCACATTTTACCCGAGTCGAGTTCGAGCCTTGAGTTTCGACTCGCGAGCCGACTCAGCTCGACTTGTTGACATCCCTAGTCCCACCCGAGCATCATGGCCATGCCCCCGCGTGGATCGTATGCCGGCATGCACTGCCGCAAGCTAGGAGGGGGCTCATCCAATTCCTCCTCCTCTGGAAGAGCATCAGGCAGCAACATGCTGAGGTTTTACAAGGACGATGCTCCGGGATTGAAGATCAGCCCCACGGTCGTCCTTGTCAGAAGCTTCATCGGCTTTGTTACTGCGCTCCACGCCTTCGGCAAGTTCTATCGCTACAAATCTGGACATGGTGCCTGATTCTCACGGATGCTCGGGTCGCAGGTTCGGATCTTGGAATTCGAGGCAGCTTGTTTGGTAAAATTGGTATTTCGGTGTGCCACGTTAAGTTTTTAGCTTTTTGTAAATGATTCTCACTTCTGGACGGCAGATAAGAGAGGATCTTAGCTTTCACGTTTCTTTCTGTTTTGATATTAATATGCTTCTTTGATCATACATGAAACTAATCTTAGTTCACATAATTTTACAGGAAAATTGCAGCCGAGGTACCAAACATTTCGTTTATTAGCAGACTTTGCCCAACCTTTAGTTGCCACCCACAGTACCAAACCTTTCAAAAATATGCATCGGAGGTCCAAATAGATGGAAACCGTCCATTTGACTGTTAATTGACAAAAAAAAAGTAAATGTTGACCTATTTTGACTAAATTGGAAAGGATAAAATTGTAACTTGATAATTACCATATTAAATAAATTGAAAAAAATATCAAAAAATCAAAAATTAAGAAAAGAACTTAAAAAAAGTGGTTGTCTTCTTCAACCATCCCACCTCAACCTAACCTACCCCCATCTTTTTCCCTAAACCAGCCGGCAGCCACTAGCACCACCGCCTGTCACAATCACCATCGCCAAGCAACAAAACCCAGAAAGAAATTGAATAAAACTCCCCAGCAGCAATGTCTAGAAGTAAGAAACCACTGAATCCCAAACTGACTGAAGCTGTAACTAGAAGAAGAGTTGGAAATAAATTTGCTTGAAAATTGGGACTTCTGAGTTCGAAATTTAGGGATTCATTTTGGGATTGCGATTCCATCAAGATGTCGGCGTTTTGTGAGGAATGGATAAACGGAGACGTTTTGGCATCGGAATTCTCTGACGTAGAATTTAGTGAACAAGAAACCGTAGAGAAGAAATAATGTAAAGCGGGCTTGAGCCGGACGCCGAGATAGAGTGACTTCGATTGAAAGCCGCAGTTCTGAGTTTTGGGTGAGTTCGGATGAGAACTGGTTTAGGAGTGAGTTGCAGACAACTCATAACTCGACAAACAGTTGAGCAGACGATACCTTGGAAACACAAAAATTATGGCGAAAGTAGAGAACAAGTATTGTTGCAGAAGTGTGAATCTCCAGCTCTTCTGGTGGCAGGCGATGGTGCTGGGAAAAAGATGGGGGTGGGGTGGTTGAAGAAGACAACCCTTTTTTTAATTTTTTTTCTTAGATTTTTTATTTTTTGATTTTTTCTTGATTTTTAAATTTTTTTTTTCAATTTATTTAATATGGTAATTATCAAGTTACCATTTTATCCTTTCCAATTTAGTCAAAATAGGTCAACATTTACTTTTCTTGATCAATTAACGGTCAAATTGATGATTTCCATCCATTTAGACCCATATTTTTGAAAGGTTTGGGACTGTAGGCGATACAAACTAAAGGTTTGGGCAAAGTCTACTAATAAACAAAAGGTTTGGTACCTCGGCTGCAATTTTCCCTAATTTTACTGCTGTTTCCCTGCGTTCGTTAACTTCACGATGAGAATTGATTGTTTATGTTAATTTTTTAGTACACTACATTTTGCTGTTGTGCATTTGGCAATTTTAATCCCTTTAAATAGAAGTGTGATGGTATTCTAGTGAGCTACATGTTGGATTACGACCTGTAGAAAATAACTTGAGCTAGCTGGTTTCTATAAATTGTTACTGTGAATGCATTAATTTTTGTAGATTGTGTACCAGTCCTGCTTAAATATGGATGTTAATATAACTTTTGTTCCATTATCTTTCGTACATCGATAGAATTCCCAAGTTTATATGGTATGAACATTATTGATTGTCCATAAATGAATTTCGAACAGCAATGAAAGCTTTTTTTTGGATAAAAGTTGCTAGATATTTTCATGTATCGAGAGACACTATTGAGCGTTGTAGCTATAGATCTCAATCAATTTAGGGCCCGTTTGGTAGGAATTTTGAGAATTGATTTTTTTGACTGTTAGAAGAAAAGTGGGGTCCACATATAAGAGAAGAAGTCAAAAATTACGGCTTGAATAGTAAAATAACGGTCAAAAAATCAATTTTTTTGGGCAAAAAATCCCTACCAAACAGGGCTTTAGAATAGCGTATAGTATACTGATGAGTGAATATTTAGTGATGAAAACAAAGAAAATTTATGGGGCTTCCTGCACTAATAGGTTACAGATAATAGTTTTGTTGCCTTAAGGTAATTTTTCATGTATTAGGTCCAGTGCGGGTATCAACAGCAAGAAAACTTAAATAGTTAAAATTTTAAACTTGATAGTTTTGCATTATCTATCCAAAAAGTACACTGAACATAGAGGATTAAATAGTTAAATTTCATCTTCATCATTTTCATCTATAAGCCTTAATCCTTGACAACTTCCACGGTCGCTTGAACCACCAAAATGATGAATCACACCCAATGCATCTAAATCACCCATCGTTAGAGTATGAGGCTCGTCATTATTTCTATTGTCAATTGTCATCTAAAGCACAAACTTAAGAATAAATATATTAGATAAAGATGCATTGAAAAGGATAAAGGCTTTTTCTCGTTTTTGTTGGATATTGGTTAAATAAATCGAGAATTGAAAATCGATTAAAATGACTTCGTATCGACTTCGGCCAAATACTCAAAAGCTCAACTCAATCCGTTTAGGCAAAATTGTTTGCCACTTCGCCGCTTCGGGGATCGACCTGGCAAAATTTTTTGATTTCTCTGCATGTATTGAAGGGTATATTTGGCATTTCGAAAACCAATATCGGATGAATGAGAAATTATGAAAAATGACGAAAATCAGGTCAAAATATTTGACCGTGCGACCGCATGGTTGGTAAACCGCGCAATCACATGTCAAATTCAATTCCGATTTTTTGAGTAAAACCGTGCGACCGCACGGTCTATAACCGTGCGTGAATAGACACCTTTTCATAAAAGTGCATTGTTTGGAAATGGTGTATGGTTTGGCCTCAACCATTTCGTCCACGCCCTTTTATGGTCTATAAATAGGACCCTTTGGGTGTCCTATTCCACACAATTTGATATGCAAAAACATCTCTCATCCTCTCTTCTATCCAAAATCAAAATCATTTCATTTATTTTGATTTTCCTTCATTTCATCCTTGGAGTACATAAGCCTAAATTTGGTTCGTTGTACTTGTGTTTTGGAGTGCTACAAACACAAGTGTAGCCGTTGTATCTTGGGAGTCGATTGCCGAAATCCGTAAGCACCGTTGCGGGGCAAAATCGACTTAAGGACAAAGAGTTCAACTCTTGTCTCGGCTTTGTCCCTACTTTCTTCTTCTTCTTGTTTGTGTTTTCTTTGCCGTTACTCTGTCCAATTTTCGGCACGGATTTACAAACCATCATTATACTTATTTTGGCGTCACTATTCACAAAATTCCTCCAATAGTTTTATGGTGGATTTCCTCATGGGAGAGGTTTCTGCCGCTGTCTCTAACACGGCTGCTGCTCCAATAGAGAGAGTTAAGCTCTTGATTCAGAATCAGGATGAAATGATCAAAACCTGTCGGTTGTCTGAACCATACAAAGGGATTGGTGACTCTGCTTTGCCCGAACAATAAAGGGTGAAGGAATGCTTGCTCTCGAGAGAGTCAACACTGCAAATGTTATCAGATACTTCCCACTCAGGTTAATAAACAATCTTATCCATCCCTTACCCTCTCCATTATTTTCTTTTTCTTTTTCCCCTTTGATAATTATATATCATGCAAGCTATAGTCTAATTGCCAAGGGAATGGGTGCGTTTAAATTCATCATGCAGAGGCTTGCTTGACCAGTTCTGTTATGTTTTGTTATCTGTATTTTATTAAAACATATTAACTACTTCTATCCATTAAATTTGTTCCTGTTCTTTTGCTTTCATGATAAGATATTATTGAAATTAAAGCATGGCTTAAAAGATGGTAATAGTTAGCTTTTCATTTCTTTGACATTTGAAATCATTACATATGCTTTCAGGCCTTAAACTTTGCTTTCAAAGACTACTTCAAGAGGCTTTTTAGCTTCAAGAAAGACAGGGATGGCTATTGGAAATGGTTTGCAGGAAACTTGGCATCGGGTGGTGCTGCTGGTGTATTAAGTCAGTTGTACAGTTTGTAATTCGGTTATTTTCGGTTAGTAACCGCTTCTTGGCAGTTAGTGGCTAGTTTGTTAGTTTGTTATCCCCCTGTACAGATGTATTCAGCATACTTTCCATGATGGATCTGAAGTTGAAACTATTTATAGCGGCTGAACTTGTAACTCAGGACAATTGAATAATGAAAATCCTCTTTCTCCACCTTCCGTCTCTTTTTCATTTCTGCACTTAACATGATGCCTTGTCTCTACTGTTTGTCTACTCTCTTGATTATGCTAGAACACGGTTGACAAATGATGCTAAGGTCGCCAAAAAGGGTGGTGAAAGGCAGTTTAACGGTTTGATTGATGTTTACCAGAAAACACTCAAATCTGATGGTCTTGCTGGGCTTTGCCGTGGATTTAATAGGTCATGTGTTGGAATCCTTGTCTACCGTGGGCCCTGCCACGCGATTTATGCAACGTGATTTTTAAATCGCAAGCGCACGGTATCAAGTTTTGTAGTATATTTAAGAATTGAAAAGTGTCAAACCCACAGGGATTGATATTCGACTTCCATTGAGTACTATAATTGTGTCCGCGTTTACTTTATCTAGACAATTGAGTGTTAAATTAATGTTTGAATACTAAACTAACGTCAATGAATTAAATAGTGCAATAAAAGTGAGGCAATTTTTAAAGATTAAATTAAATTTACCTAATGTCTAGGGAATGATTTCACCGTATTCTCGACATAATTCTCAATCCCTATAGATATTTCCATCAACTATTTCCCGAATTCATAGGCAAGAATCCTAAATTAATTCTATTTCCCCCTCTCGAGCGTCAAATAGAACCTATCTCTATATTTTAACGCCAATATCTCTATTCCGAATTAAATATATATAGATTATCACACACTTGGTTCTTG